TCGTCGCCAGCCCTCCCTCACCATCGCGCCAACACCAGGCACCCTCACATCTGCACCGAAGCAGGCAAGAACTGTGCGGGAACCTGCCCCCGTGGCCTGTGGGGCTACACTCTGCAACCAGGCCTGGCCAAAGCAAGGCCGACATCCGATCGAACAACCTGTAGCATGAGCGCGGGGGCTTCAAAGCTACAGACGGGCCTCTAGTTTGAGAGGCTTTGGGCGCGTTGGTGAAACACTGGTATGTGCAGCTCTTCACTCACATTAGAGAGCTAGGGCTGCACCGAGAAACATCATTATTCCTCGCGATTGCAATCGAATTCCAGAAGAGCACGAGGGCACGTGACGTGAAAATGCTCGCGTCTGGGGGCAACGAGGAGTTCAGTGGCCACCGTAGAACTATGGCCAGCAAGTGAAAGCTCACCACCGAACGTCGAAACTTCACACAGTGCAGGCCACCAAGGGGGCGCCAGCGGCGGCGGCCCTGACAACAGCGAGGGCTGCAAGAAGACTGCTGTGAGTGTTGCCACCTTTGCCTGGCCCTTCGCCCGCGCGAGCCAAGCAAGCATCGCAATCACTGCGTTCCACCTCGGAACTGTTCTTCATTCGCCACGAGCGCGTCTCCCAAGAGGTTCGCCGCCGTCGGCGTTCAGCGTTCATTCATCGACGGTGTGTGTGTTGCCACCTTTGCCTGGCACTTCGCCCACGCGATCCAAGCATGCATCGCTATCACTTTCCACCTTAGAGACGTTTTCCATTCGCCAAGAGCGCGTCTTCTGACAGGTTCGTCGCTATCGGCGTTCATGGATCGACGGTGCGTGTTGCCACCTTTGCCTGGCACTTCGCCCACGCGATCCAAGAGCATCGCTATCACTGCTTTCCACCTTTGACATGTTCTTCATTCTCCAAGAAAGCGTTTTTCAACAGGTTCGTCGCCACCAGCGCTCATGGATCGACGACTTGGCATCACTGGGGCACGATTTGAATCACCATGGCTAACTTGAACCAACATTGCTACAAACAAAAACGACCGTATACGATGAAATGAAGTACCGTCATGAGGCAAGATGAAAACAACAACTGCAGCCCCTCATATACACTCCTCACTGCACCGACCTTGCAAACGTGCTGCAGCGGATTTGTGCGAGGATTTCTGTCGATGCAAGATCCCGAAACGGCGAAAGAAAAACGAAGTGAATTTCGCTTTGATCTTTGTTTAAGACTCCATTCCTGGCTGCCAAACAACAATCCGCACGAAATTCACACCGAAGTCCAGAACGAAATTCTCCAGGACACTCCGGGCCCGTCCTTTTGCTTTCCTAACGAAATCCGCTCTGCGATGATGGCGCCATGACTCCTTGCGACCCAAGAGGGGGTCCACAGATGTATTGCGCCAGAGAATTGTATTGCATTGTATTGCAACTAATGTATTGCACACGAAAACCCAGCAATACATTTGCGCCCTGGAATGTATTGCGCGTCCCAGATTGATGCAAACCCACAAAGGTATTGCACCCAATCTATTGCACCACCCCCTTGTCGCTGGACCCCCTTTTGGATCAACCCGAATGACACTCCCCTTCGAGGACGTCTCGAGCGGGAGCCATCTTCTGAGGGTGCCTCGCGCGGGAGCCACTGCCAGAAAAACAGGTCTTGGACCCTTCTCTCCACGGCGGAGCCGTGGCCAGAACCAGGGCCTCGAGCATGCACAACATGGGAATCATACTCAGGAGCGCGTTTCTTTATTTCCGGCGATAATGAGCATTAAAGGGGGGAGGGGCCAGGGGGGGGGGGGAATACTGTAACGCCTCCCCCCCGCCGTGCGCACGGCGGCAGTGCCCGAAGCGCACTGGGGGGAGGGGCGTTACGTTATAGGGGGGGAGGGGGGGCCGGGGGCTATAATGCCCATGATGCCCCAAGCAAAAAAGAAACACGCTCCAGAATTAGGTCGGGCATGTCCCCCTATAGGGTTTTTTGTCCCCCCCCCCAAAAAAAAGTAGTCAAAAAGTATTCAAACAAATGGTCAACAAATGGTCAAAAAATCGTCCCCAGACTATTTCTGTCTATTTTTGAATATTCCTCCTGTGATGGGACAGGCTCGACTCAAACTTAGAAGCGAGGGTGTCGCTCACGCCCTTTCTCCCGCTTGGCGATGGGGATGGGGAAATCAAAAGGTACCGATACCGCTAGTCCCTGGACCACTCCTGGGGTGCGTTCTGACCAGAATGCCGAGGCGAATCCAGCGGTGGCGACGAAGACCTGCCAGGAGGCCGACAAAGGGGAAACCGGCCGAAGGGTAGAGGTATGGGTACCTTTTCTTCCTCTGAGGGGGGTCTATCGGGCATCGCTCAACCGACCCCTATCTCCATGAACGTGGCCTGGGCCCCAACGGCCGACTGAACCCCTACTTAGATGGGGATGCAGGCCGTTGCCTTCGGGTTTCGAGGCGTGTGCCCCCAACTGGGGTGCAAGGGTGCTGGGGGTCTGGATGGGGATGGGGATGGGGATGGGGATCGGTTACACGATACCGATGTATGCTTGTGGGGTCGCAATGATCGCTGGAGAGATGATGAGGACACATTCGAAGGAGGACGAACCGGGAATCTCTGAGAGCCCGCGGGTCTGGGATACATATATACACACACGCATATGTATGTATATATGTATATATATATATATGTATATATGTATATATATATATATATATATATATATATATACATTACACCAAAGAAAAGCCCCAATCAATGGATGCTTTGATCGATAAGGAACTGGTCGACCGGAAACCCGGGAACCCAGAACCCACCGAAATCGGCCCGGAACCAATAACCAGGAACCCGGGAACCCGAACTGGGCACCCGGGAACCCAGCCGGCCACCAAAATCGGCGGGACACTTTCCCCAAATCTTACAATTTTCGCTCGGACCCCTTCAGTGCAAGCACTGCTTGGGGAATCGGTATGTGTGTACATATATATGTATATTTATTTATTTATTTATTTATATATATATATATATATATATATATAATATAATATATATATATATATGACTGAGCTGGGGGCGGGGTCGTGCGGCAGTGTGCGAGAGCATTCTATTTCATTTTAAGATGGCCATAGCACGATGACACGGCTGTCGAGAGGAGGATGGGCTCTCGCGCCAGGTCAAACAGCCCTCGCGCCAAGTCTCCCTCGCAGGCCCAAGCACGGCCAGCCCCCGACACGGCTCGAGGAGACCGGCTGCGGCGGGCGCGCACCTCGCGCTAAGTCCGCTCATGGGCCCAAGCACGGCCACGCAAACAGCGCTGAGCAGGACCGGCGGCGAGTGCACAGGCTGGCGGCGACGAGCACAACTCTCTCCTCTGAAAACAGCTTTCCACCCAAGCCTCTCCTGGCCTCAGCCGAACGCTGCTCGCGCGCGAGCAGCAAAAGATTGCAGCCACATGTGTGTGGCGGAAACAGAGCGACTGCATTCATCTCTGCTGAACCGGCTGCACTGTTGAGGATATAAATCTTGGTTGTGCGCATTGAGCTCACCCTTTTCGCAGCATCATCTCTAGACTGCTCAAGGAGAGGTACACGCGAGCAGCGCCTCTGCGCTGGATGTAATACGGCGACGGCCGAAGGTACACGCAGCCAACGCCTGCCAACGCTTCTTTGAAGGTGGCGTGGAAGGCTGGAATGGTGTCAGGTTACGCTCGCTTGCAGGATCTAGCGCGAGCTATTTGCGCAGCCGGCTGTCCACGTGGGGATCATATATTAGCATGTTATATCAGCGCTCTCGGCGCGGCTGTCTCTGCCCAGGGCAATGAAACGACCTGTATGAGCATCAGGGCTGATCCGCACAAGCCCACGATTCATGCAGGCACAGGCGGTAGTCTGACAGCACACATGCGACATTGCTGTGCGATCGCGCGCAAGGGAGCGGACGCGCGCGCTAGCACCAGCGGACGCGTGGCTGGGCACTCCGAGGCGGCTGTAGTTGACAAGAGGCGCCATGCGCTGAGTACCTGCCGCCTAGAGCGAAGCAGGTGCTGGACATTGCTAGTGCAAAATTTGCTTGGCTCCCTGCAGGCACGGCGGGGCATCCTTGGGCTTCGGCTGAAGCCGCGAAGCCGCGCACCTCCCGCGTGCTTATCGCCAGCTCGAGTACCGAGAAGGCGCGTACAACTGATGCTTACAGCTGTAGCTTGAGCTGCCTGCTGCTGGACCGACGCTCACTCGGAACACCGAGGCTGACCATGCTGGCGACGAGATGGAGGAAGACCTTTCACGTGGCGGACGATCGCATGGGCCCCCGTGCGCAACGTCGTCACCGATGCCTCGCACTGCGGAACGTTATGTGCGGGCCTTGGTCGTGCCACTCGGTCTGCCTTGCTGTCTTCCAGCGCCAGAACTCGGCTCTTACCTCCTGCCGAGGGAAGACCTTGCCGAGCGCCTCCACGTCGGCGTCGATTCGCAAACCAGCGCCAGAGTGGTGACACATCATCACAAGCGCGGCCTCTACACACTGTGGCGGGCTGGAGGAGCCGCCGCCTGCCTGGCCCGCGCTGCGCCAGCTGCCCCCGCGGCACTTCCGCGTGGCACGGCGCCGCGGGCGAGCAGTGGCGGAGCAGGCGCGATCCGCGCAGCTCCTCCAGCGCGTCCAGCAGCGCGGGCTGCCGCGCCAGCCAGCCGACGCACAGCTCCACGGCGCCGGCAGGCGGCCCCCCCGGCCCACGGGAAACGGGTTCCCCCACTCCGAGGGCGTCAGCCCTTCGAGGTCTAAGCCGCGGCGGCAGCCCTGGCTGGGTGGCCCTTGCAGCCGCGGCGCCGTCCTCGGAGCGCCGACTGGCTGCCGCAGGGCGCGCCTCCGCGACCGCCTCGCGGCCCTCGCGCGGCGCCAGCGCGCCGTCGGCCCCGAGCCTGCGGCACCCGGCCCAACTCTGCGGGCTAGCGCGCAGGGCGGCCAGCGTCAGCACGGCCCCCCGCAGCCCGGCTCGCAGGGCCCAGGTGGGCCAGCCACCGCGCATCCACAACGCGCTGGAACGAGTTCCCGAAGGGCGATCGCCGCAGCGCCTCGCACTTCTCGGGCTCAGTCTTCGCCGCCGAACTCACATGGGGCGTGGCGAACTTGGCGGGGCCCAGCGGACAAGGGGCGGCAGCCTCGAACGAGGGCAGCAGGTCCCAGGAGGCCCATGTGCAGAGCAAGCGCCGCCACCGCTCCCAGCCCATGTCGCCAGCCACGAGCTCCAGCGGCACGCGCCAGAATATGGCATAGAGCTGCAGCACCTCGACCTTTGTCCCTTTGTCATCGTCGGCAAGTTCTCGTCCAGGAAATCCGCGTCGGCCTCGGGCACCTCGCGATTCAGGCCCTCGATGAACCACATCAGGTGGCCCGCCGGCTGCGACCTCGGGGCGTCGCTACCCTTGCGGCCCACGTCAGACACCGCGTGGCCCCGAGAGGGGCAGCCGCCCACCGCCAGCATCCAAGTCACTCGCCCGTGCTCTCTCAGGCGCAGCACCAACGCCTTTGGGTCTGCTAGCGCGATGTCGCCCTGGTGCTTGATGCTCGGGTAGGCGCGCTGCGCGACCCGGGCGGCGTCGCCCTCGACTCGACCTCGAAGTGGGCCGCCGGTACCGGGCCCGGGGCCTCGAAGATCCGGCCAGCGCCGTCGATCCACGCGAAGGCCGAGATCAGCGCCGCGCCCCCCTCGCGCGCCTGGCCCGGCGGCGGCGCCCCGCGAGGCGGCGAACAGCTCGCCGCGCGGCGACAGGCTCGTCGCATGCACCGCGGCACCCGCAGGCTCCGGACGCGTCGGAGGCCGCAGCCTGCACCCAGCGCCTGAACAAGATCTGCGCCAGCCGCCTGCTCGCGCGCCGCTTGCCGAGCGCCCAGGAGGTCAGGCCCGTGAGCTCAGTGACGCAGCCCTGCAGGGGGCTCCTTGTGCCTTCGACGCCGTCGATCAGCTCGTCGAGGGTCGCCAGTTTCGCGAAGCGGAACACGTCCCTGCCCAGCGACCCCGGGGGGCCCGCCGCCTCGCAGCACTCGCGCGCCCACCTCAGCAGCGGCGGCGCCCTGTCCTCCAGCGCTTCGGCCTCCTTTGCCGAGACGACCTCCGCGATCTCGAGGCCCCCGTCGTAGACGAACCCAGCCGTGGACGGGGGCGGCCTACAGCCAAACGGCAGTCGCCTCCTACGCGCGAATTCCACGCCGGGCGCCAGCCCCCGCGGCACCGCGCTGGAGCGCAGCAGCATATTCCCGTGCAAGTTGGTCGTGGCGCCGAACGCGCTGATCCAGCCCATGGCGATCACCCTGAGCGCGACGCGGGTCGAGCCGTCGCCGACCCCCCTCCGCGAGCCGCGCCGGCGCCAGAAGGCCCGACGCCAGGTGGGGCCACCACGCCGGCCGCGCCCTGAAGACGTTGAAGAAGGCCATCCTGTCCAGGGCAGGGCCCCGCCGGGCGCCAGCGCCAGCTCGCACAGCTGCCCCGTGCTCAGCATCTCGGGCGAGCCCCTGGCGGCGCATCTCTGGCACGCGTTGGCCGGCGTGGGGCGGATGATCAGCAGCAACGCTGGCCTGCTCACCCCGTCCTCGCGCACGATCGGGGGGTCGTGTGCCTCGGTGTCTCCGAAGGCGCCGTTCACCAATCTCTGCCCGTCACAAATGGCGATGGCCGTCTCGTCGATCGGGCCGATCATCCCGCGCTCGTACAGCGCGCCGGCCACGAGACGCCGCGCGCCCTCGGAGGCCCCGGACGCGCGCGCTCGCGGCGGCGCGTCTCTGCCGGGCCGGCGGCAACATCACCGGGTGGGGTCCAGCAGGGCGCGCGGCTCGGACAACGCCGGAGGCGATGTCCGCGGCCTAGACCGAGGCTGCAACTCCCCCTGGGGGGAAGCCACCCACGACCTATTCCAAGGCGAAGCGGAGCGGGGTCGACACCTCCGACACGTCGTAGGCGATCCGGCTGCCCTTCAGGTCGGCGCTCCAGTCGATGTCGTACCCGAGCTCAGGTCCAGGGCTGAGGGCGGCGTGGGCCCGCCTCGCGAGCCCCCGCAGCGCCGACCGCAGCGCCGCGCTTGGCCGAACCGCGCGGCACCGCACGCGCCGCTTGCGCCTGCAGTCTGCCTCCCAGCTCCACGCCACGACCGTTGCCAGCAGCCTGGCCTGCAGCGCCTCCTGGTCGCGCGGGCCCAGCCCTCATCGGTGAAATCCTGAACTTCCAAGCGCGGGCAGGGAAGCGGTGGCAGCTCGCGCTGCGACCGCCCCCGCCTAGCTGGCCTCTGTTCGCAGTGCGCAAATCCCGTCATGCACTGCCCGTGCGACACAGGAAAAGTGCGCCGCAGCTGCTTCGAGATCGGCCAGGCGCCCAGCGGCCGGCGGAGGACGCCGTGGGCCGCTCCGACCAGCTCCCGCCAGTCGTCGCAGTGCGAGGCGGGCTTCTCGTCGGGCTCGCTCGCGGCGCGCCAGCGCTCGCCGCCGCGCGCAACGTCGCCAGCGCCCTCCAGCGAGCGCGCGCCCCCAGCGTGCCAAGGCTCCGCAAGGGCCACGACGCATTGGGGCACGGCTTCGGCACTGCGGGGCGCTCCGCCACGGCTCTGCACCCGCCTCTGCCGCCCCCCTTCGGCACAGCGTCCGCGCCCGGCCGCCCATGGTCGACCGCGTGCGCGCCCGGCTCCAGGTTCAGCAAACGCGCGCCTCGGGGCTGCGAGCAAAGGCTGCCCCCCGCGCCGCCTGCGCCCGCCCCGGCGCGGGCGCCCGCTCTGCCGGCCCGGAGGGCGCTGCGGCGAGGGCGGAGGGCGCTCCGGCTGCGGCCCCATCATCTGCGGCCCCGCCCGAAGCCGCGGTGGGCGCCCCAGCCCGGCTGGGCGCGCGTCCGCCGCGGCCTCGCGCCCGCAGAGAGCAAACGGCCGCGCCTCATGCCGCGGCCTGCCCCGCGCTCGCAGCCCTCGATCGGGGAGCCGCTCGGCTGCCGGCGAGCCCGCCGGCGACAGCTCCTTGCTTGGCGCGCGCCTGGGTTTGAGCAGTTAGAACTTGAGTTATAACCCAGACATGTCAGCATATAACATCAACAACCCAACGTATAAGTCCAACACGTACGCCCATGTAAGATACAACTGTCCAGAAACTTACATCTTTCATCGCCACATATAAGCCCACATGTTCACATACCGTAGCTGGAACACAAGTGAGATATACATACCGTTAACCTACATGCGACTTTGCACCAACAGACATACAACTCGTTGTAGCACATACAACAATTACGACAAGTTACAAACAGTTACTAAATACATACGAACACATACAAAATAGTTAGAAACAGTTACGAAATAGTTGCCACAACCTCCAAAATGGCCCAAGACCTTCTAGGTGGCCTTCAAGCGAGGAGGAGAAGGAGGAGGAAAAGAAAGAGAGGGGGGAGGGGGACCAGGAGGAGAGGGGGGAGGGGGACCAGGAGGAAGGAGGACGGAGAAGGAGGAGGAAGAGAAGGAGGAGGAGGAGGAGGCGACAGGAGGCTGCCCACCGTTGTCTCATGTCTCACGTTGCCCTCCCCCGAAAGACGGCCCCATGAGGCTCAGGAATCCGCGCAAGGCCCCAGGGGGCCATCGGGGATCAGGGGGCCTCGTCGACCGCCGCGTGTTGGCTCCGCCTCGCGCGGCCCGCGCGGGCGGCCCGGGCGCGGGCGCTGCGATATTGCAGCGGTGCAGGCCCGATTTCTTCGAGTGGGAGGGTGGGAGAGAAGGAAGGAGCACCTGTGGACAGGAGGGGCGATCTGAAAACTAACCCCACAAGCCAAGTTACAACCCCCCAACCCTCCCCCCAGCCTCGAACCGCTCCCACGCGGTAGGAGTTGTTATCCCTGGCCACGTTTCGGAAAGGATGTAATTCAAACAGATCGCCCCCCCTTTCGCTCATCATATCAATAATATGTGGGGGCAAATTGCCGAAACATGGGAGGAAGCCATCTTGGGTTCGGTCGTGTGCTCGATCCTCAGCTACCTATCAGATCCTACTAGCTTTCTTATCTTACTGCTCCTCCTCATCATCCTCCGCCCCTTGGCGTTTCGCAATCCTCCTCCGCTCCCTGCCGCTCGCAAAGTTCAGTGCCCTTCCCCCTGCCCCCCTTCCTCCTCCCTCCTGTTCCCCCCTCTCTCCATCCACTTCTCATGTCTCTTCTGATCGTTCTCACTTCCATTTCAGCTGCAGTCGCGTCCTCCATAAGATCCTCCTCCCGCCTCCTCCTTGTCCTCATCATCCTCCTCCTCGCGCTTCTACCCCTGTCAGCTCAGCGAGGTTCAGAACAATATCGGAATGAGGGGTTTCCGCTCACGCGAATTCATTTAAAAACGTGTGTTTATTATGATGGGATGCCCTTTCCAGCTTGGACCCGCCAGCGTGTAATTCGTTTCTTTGTGGGTCTATGTTCACTGGGCATGTGTGCTCGTGCTCCCGATCTGCATTATCGTGGGCACATCCGTAACCATTTTGGCTCCAGCGGGTTTCGCTTGCGAGGTGCTGCGCGCGCCCGACACGTCGCCTCCGCGATGGCGCTGAGCGCGCCCACGGCATCGCAGCTGCCTGTGCAGGGGCCGCGCGCGCCTCCCGGGCTCGAGGCACCTGCAGGGGCGCACGAGGCGGAGACGTTCGACGCCTTCGCTTGGCCATCGGTTCAGCAGTCTGCCGCCGATGCGATCGAGGAGTCGGAGCACGAGGACGCCGACGACATCGTCTTGCGAGCGGTTCCGCATTTCTCCGCGTCGAGCGGAGGCGCGAGCTACTGCGGCCTCGCGCGGATCGGCCCCGTCCCCATGGTCGGCAACTTGACCATTCAGGACAAGACGGCTATCCGACAGATGTTCGGCTGCAGAGCGTCGTTCAGGGCGCGCCGACATGGTCATCGCTCGCTCACGGTCGTCGGCCCGCAGAGCATGGTGCAGTTGGCTTGGGAATTCGCTCGGGATCGTGTCCGCCTCGAAGCAGCAACGCGCTCGTGTGCGGGGTCCCGCTTTGTGGAGGCGGAGTGCAGGTTAGGGGATAGCGGCGTCGTTGCAGCAGCAGGCGTGCAACACCTTGAGGGAGTCTGTTTGGTGCGCCCAACGCTAGGGCCCGAGAAGATCCTTGGCGACAGATTCCAGCCAGCCTACGTGTACGTTCGCGCCGACGCTTATGCGGGCATAACGCCTGCATCTTGCGAGCACGGTCGCACGTGTAATGTCTGTCTCTTGCGCAGCACTAGTGCAGCCTGTGCCGATGTTGGAGACACGTGCGCACCCCTGGCCTCCTGAAGAAGTACGGGGGCGGGGCAGAGAAGAGAGAGAGAGAGAGAGAGTAAGAGAGAGACAGAGAGAGAGAGGTAATGATATGGAGCTGCACGATGCATACCTGCGTTTCAAGTTCACACGGCGTTCTTGCCTGAATTGCAAACGCATGGGGACCTGTTTTTCAACGGTGGGCTGTTCGCAGCCCTGGAGCACTTTCTTTGGGGAAGGAGTGGGGAGAGCGAAAGAAAGTGAGTAAGCGAGAGAGAGGGGAGAGAGAGAGAGAGAGGGAGAGCGTGCTTGGGACGGGGGTGCCTTAGTCTAGCTGACGCGTCCTGTCTTTACCCATGGCGCGTCCTCCTTCCCCAGCCCTCATTCCCCTGGTGATTATACTTCTCTTCGCCCCCCTCGCCCTGCGTCCTCTTGCACTCGCTGGAGTTTCCTCGCGGCCCCCTCGGGCCTTCTCGGGCCTACTCGCCAGGTGCACGCAAGAGGCCCATCGAAAGCTCTCAGAGTTCCCTGCGTGGGCTGCAGTCGAACTCAGAGTACGTAGCGTTGGCTCAGTTGGGACCTCTTCAGCCCCTCTCGTGGCTAGCTTGCGCTAGCTTGCTTTCGGGTTCGCAATGCGAGGCCTCGCTCAGGGGCCGCCTCAGTCCCGCCTGAGATCAGGCCAGCCCCGAAAGAGGCCTTAGAAGCCCGAAGCGAGCCCCCCCAATAGGGCTCCAAGCAGACCAGCTGGCATCACTATTTTGTTTCTGCGTTGCGTTGGGGCTCCCCTGGGGAGGAGGGTGGCGCGCCTGGATCTCGCCTGAAAGCCACCTGCGGTCGACTTGGAGCTCTCCGAGGGAAGACGGACCAGGAGGAGGAGGAAAAGTAGGAGTAGGAGGAGGAGGAGGTGGAGGAGGAGGCGGAGTACGAGGAGGAGGAGCACGAGGAGGAGGAGGAGGAGGAGTACGAGGAGGAGGAGTACGAGAAGGAGGAGGAGGAGGAGGAGGAGGAGGAGGAAGAGGAGAACGACGATGGTGGAAGAGGAGGAAGACGAGGAAGAGGAGGAGGAAGAATGGGAGCCTCTGGATGGGGAAGCGCAAAGCGTTCACCATTCTAGCCTTCTCTCTCACACACGCTCTCTCTCTCTCTCTCTCTCTCTCTCTCTCTCTCTCTCTCTCTCTCTTTCTCTCCTCTCTTGCTATCTCTCTCTTTTTTTGTTTTCTCTCTCTCTCTCTCTCTCTCTCTCTCTCTCTCTCTCTCTCTCTGTCTGCCCTCTCTCTCTCTCTCTCGCTGCCCCGCCACCCCGGGCGCCCCGCAGGCCAGCCCATGGCAGATGGGGCGATCGTCGGCCGCGACTCGGCGATCAAGAGACGCAGGCGACCTCTGCTCGCTGCGTCGCCCTCCTCGTCGATTTCGGCACTGGCATCGGTGCTGGTCGGACATGTCGGAGCCGACGGCGGAGAGTTCGTAGACGACGACGAGGATCAGGTCTC